TACGATGAGATTTCTCTAGCTTACCTGTTTGTGTTCTGATAGCCTGATCCTTATCCTTTTCGTATGTGGATCTCTGAGCCTGCCTGTTCCAGTTCTGATCTGTTTACCTGACCTGTCTTCGGACTTCTTCTAGATTTTGTGTGTTGATCTGCCTGCTGACACCAACCTGGATTTCCCCTCAGTACTTCTTCAGATCTCTGATCTGCTGGCTTGGTGTCCTGTAAACTTTTTCAACACCTGCTTCGACTTCACCCTCTGGAGTATCCTGCCTTCTGCTTGGGTCTGAACTCCAAGGCTTTAGCGTCTGGAGCTCCCTGGGCAGCATTCCCCGTGTGCTGTTAGCAGCTATTCAGGTGGAATCCACCTCTTCCCCTGGGCACAGCCTGAACTTTAAGACCAAGTTAGTGACTCAGGCTTTCGTAATCATCCTCCTTCAGATTAATGTGGTCATTAACCTGAGTTTCCCCCTGCAGAGGTTCCTGCCTTAGAAATGTTTTTTTTTCTAATAAACGTCCTTTTGAGAACTGTCTGTCTGCCTTGATTACTGGATCCTTTGTTATGAGCCTTGACAATTTCAGAGTTAAAATACCTTTTGAAAAACCTGACAGTTTTACAGAAGGAAAAATAAAGATATATAATATGTAATCTTAAAGGGCTAATTGTCTAGACTGTAGATTGGTTTCCCCAACTCCTCATTCATCCAAATACTTTTCTTTTTTGTTTAAAAATTCCAATCAGTACCCAAGACAAAATCACAGACTGAATGTAGATCCTGACAGCTAACAATACACTGATATTTAGACTGTGATGGATTCTTTGAATCTCTTGGTTCTTGAAACATAAAATGGTTTTAATTATCTTTGCAAGCTTGAAAGATTATTATAAATGTATTTATTGTATGGATGTTCTACTCTCTTGACCCACTGGTATAAATTCTCCATATTAAAGCTGAAAAACTACGCATGCATTTAAAATGTAAATCAAATCTAGTTATGCTGAGAAAAGCGTCCATAAGCAAGTCATTTGATTAAAAGCAAATTGTTTTGACAACTTGTCGTGTGTTTCGTCTTTGTGAAAAAAAAGCCCCAGTGGGAAGGATGAATTATTAGTTACTTTTATTGTGCGATAAATCTTGTAAATTAACCAGAGTGCCAATGGATGTCAACTATGATTAGTGTCAATCTGCACTCTAATAAAGATGCTCTACCTGTAGGCGTGTTGCATCTCTGGCTCTCTGATGAGGTTATAAACAGCATGAATGCTTAACTCAGGAGCATTTGGACTCCATTAAAAATAAATCATATGAATCGTGTTTCTGTGTGCAAAGGCTTACACCAGTCACTGAAATGCATGAAATTAATCAAGTTTGAAATGAAACAACCTATTAAAGCATTACAGAAGGAATGGTTTGGCAATTTATAGAGTAGCATGTTGATTTTGAAAGGACGGGATCTGTTGTGGTTCTTTTCGAAATCATCACACTGTGGTCAGCACAGCAAAGTCACAGAGGCATCCCACCGACGAACAGATGGGCAGCAGGAGAGGAATGCAGAGGAGGTGATCCACAATGTGCACACACACCATGATGGTGAGTCAGTGATAAAGAACGGCAGATGAATGGATTTCTAAAACTCTTCTAACAAACTGAGAAAGCGGCTGTCTGCCTCTCCTTCCTCGTCTGTCGCTCTCATTTCCACTGCTGGAAGCCTGTGAATTTCAGTGCTGACGTATGTGTTGGCTTTCTGTGCTGTGCGAAAGGAAAAGCAACGAGATGTCGTCGGGGAGAATAATTTATTGCACCCTGTACCTATAATGTCACACTAACTTACAGCGGCATGAAAAATAAATCACAAAAGATGGAAGTAGTGACAGTAAACATATCCTGAATGATTTTTCTGGGTGTAGAGGGGACATTATCAGGTCTGGAAAGGAATACAGTACAAAGGAACTCATTTCGTGGTAAAAGTAAGTTATTTTTTCTTCCCTTTTGTAAGTCTTTTTAGTGGATTCTCTAAAGACTTTAAAAGCAGACTCTTCTTGTTATGGCCTATTAAAAAGCTTAAATAACATTATTATTGATTTAAAGATTGTTAATATTTAACATTTTCCATAGCTGTCATCAGTCCATCTTATGATCCTGTGATTGAGTTTTCCCCATATCAAACCTGGGAGGTAGCAGACACTCAAAGAGTTTATTTATGACCAATTCTGCCAACTAAAACAAAAAAGTTTAATTTAAAGCTGTTCTTTGTGTTTGGTGCATAGCTTAAGCGGGGCCAACGAAAGGTCCTTTCTGCATATCTTTAAATCATCTTTTGGGAAATCATGAGAGGCACTTGGGCCCTGTTGGTTCTCCTTTTTAAACAGTGGGTCAGAGGTGCATATAAGCCGGCTACATACAAAACCTAGATGTAATCTTTAAGGCTGTTAAGTTCTTAATTTATTCACTAAAGGTGCAAACCCAGAATTTACCATGACCTGCAAAAACATTCACAATATTTCACATTTACCACATTCTGTTATACAATAACTAGAATAATAAAAAAAATTCTAGCCTATGTGATGGACCAATACAACAGGTGCATTTTTGTGAAATGGAAGAAAAAAAATAGAAATTTCAAAATTGTTCAATAAATTACAATCTTACAGTTGTGCAGATAATTTAAAACCAGGTTTAGGTTACAGTGAATTTCCCAGAATAAAATGTGATTAAATTGCCATGTACAAATCTTACCATTGTGAGAGATGGTTGTAAGGAAGTCACAGGAAGTCATGATTAATGTTAGCACAAGCCTCTGTGGTTTCAAAGCAAACATAAAAAAGGGCTAAAGCAAAGCAATCCTGTGAGATAGACCATTTCAAAGCTGTAGAAGACCCGGAATGGGGGGGGGGGGGATAAGGAGCTAAATTTAATATTTTAGATAAAAGTATATTTATTTAATAAGATGGCCCAAACTTTTCCACCATGCAGCCCAACAACAGCAGCTACTCAAAGATGACTAACTGGCTAGGAAGCTTGTTATGCAAAAAAAAAAAAACATTTGTATGCCAAAATGGTTGTTTTTTGGCGACTTAAAAACCCTAGTGGTCCTGGTGTCTCAAATTAAATCAGTTAGTCATTGCAATCAATCTGAGAGATGGTTTGTGCAGCCATGGATTTCCAAAATAAAATATTAAAAGCTGGAGCAAAAAAACCTACATATATATATATATAGATATATCTATCTATATATACATACATACATACATACATACATACATACATACATACATACATACATACATACATACATACATACATACATACATACATACATACATACATACATACATACATACATACATACATACATACATACATACATACATACATACATACATACATACATACATACATACATACACACATACACATATATATATATATATTGTTAGAGTTGATTAAGCTGATTAATACAGGTAACATATAATTAGATACATCAAGTTCCTCAGAAATTATCCATGCATCTAATGGCTTATCCCTGGCAGGGTTGCGAGGGGTGCTGGTTCCTATCCCCAGCTGTCTACGGGCAAGAGATGGGGTACACCCTGGACAGGTCGCCAGTCCATTGCAGGGCAGAAATTAGATTATGTTAGACTAATAAAGGGATTTTTGATAAAGTATGTCTATGTACTCCATAGAACAATGACATTAAATAAATTAGAGTATGGGATCAGATTAAATGTACCCTTTCAGACCAGCTTTTGAAGCAAGTCATGGGGTGCAGCAGTGATGCAGAAGTGTGCGGTATAATGCATCCGTCCTGGGTTAGAATCCTGATGTCGGACCTTTGTTGTATCTCATCTCCCCTTTTCACTCCACGTGTGTCCTGTCTAACAACTGTTGACAGCCAACCAAGGAAAATTATCTAGAGAATTTACTTATTAAATAAAGTGCAATACTGAAGTAAAATAAGTTTTCAAAAATAATAAATATGACTGTACAAACCCAATACAGTAACAGGTTTACCCTGAGTCTTCTGTCTATGGCTCTCGAGGCACTGTTTCCAGCTTCAGTCCATGCTTTATTAATTTTCCCAAACTCTTAAATCAGCACTACTTTAAAATCCACCCATAGAAAGGTTTCCTTTAAACGTTTTCTGCACCACCACCATCACACCATTAGTAAAAGGTGTAGATCATGTATAACCTTTTTTTAGATTCTATCATATTTCATTTAGATAGATTTGTATATTAGAACGAAAGGTATGTGCTCAAACATGATGAAATCCTCTGGACAACTACACAGCGATAAATGTTTTTTTTTCTTTTAAATTGTAGCATATTGAAACAACCAGCATGTTTCACGAGCTAAGAGCTGCAGAAGTGTGGACATAAATGAACACAGCCTCTAACATATAGTGAATTGAGGCATCACCAAGCAGTATGACCAACTGGGACATTATGTCTTATTTACTAAAAAGAAAATAAACTTATTGGAAAGGCACAAAAGTAACACAGATTCCACAGCAAGTAAAGAAACTGAATTACATCAACTGACTCCTAAGATTCACATGTCTGAGGAGCAGGAGAAAAATTAAGGAGGAAGAAGCGGAGGGGGGTCTCAGAGGGGGCTCAAGCTTATGAAGGGGTTCCTTGTACAGTCAACACCCCCTTAAAACCCCCAACCCACCCACCCCAAGAAACGTCAACCATCATAAGCCTGGCTCTCAGCAAAGGTGATTCATCTGTTGAGTGTGATCAGAGGAGCCATCTCTGAGGCAACACACACAATTGAAAATATATTCACTCTGAAAGGCTTTATAAAGTTAGAATATATTGGAATACTCACAAGAAAACCCTCAGAGGACGTGTATATGTCAGCACACACATTTCACTCAATATGTTATCTTGTCAATAAGAGCACTCTCCCAAACAAGAAGCCCTCACACAACTGCGTAAACCAGTGATGCATGACTGCCATATCTCTCCTAAAATCCTTAAATGGGGAAATCTCTTACCTCTGAAAGTGGAGAAGAAAGAAGTTCTGCGGTGTGTGCTTCCTTCCTTCCAGATTTCCTCTGATCCTCTTTGCCAACCAGTGTCAGTCAGCAGCTCTTGACTCTCCCGCTGATCGTGAAACCCCAGCGCACAGATTATGATAGAACAACAAATGAAAAAGGTGGGAAGTGGGATGAGGAAGGTGAATCTTTAGCCTGCAGGGTCTCTCTCCGGACTGGATCTTTGAGCTGATCTCTTGCTCAACTCTGCCTCTGTCCAGCAGCTAGAGGTGCTGAATGAGACTCCAGGCTTTGACTGCGGTGGTTTCCTACTTTTTTTTTTTCTCTCTCCAGCTTCTTCTGTTAGACTGCACAGATCTTCCCTCCCTCCGCGCAACAGTGGCGCTACTTCCTCACCAATTACACACTTTGTACGACGCGGACACTAATGCAGATGTTCAGTAAAACTGACAAAAATCTGAACGTCGCTGATTGAGCGTCGTTCAAATCAATTGGATTTTAAAGCCCGATCAATAGATGGAGGTCTAATAATTTTTCAGCTTGCTCTCACACACAATAAAAGGAGGGAGTCGGCTGACTGTAAACTTGTTTTACACAAAATACAAACCGTTTTTGGTCATAAAGCAATAAAGAGTGATCTGACAGAAGGCACACCTTCCCGAGAGTGTAGTTGATGTGATTCAGGTATAAAAGTAATTTTTCTGTTTTGTGAATCTGCGCCACTCCTTCTTAACTAGATGCAAATGATAAGCACTGCAGATGCATTTCTGCGCATTTTGGGTTTTTGCACATATGCGCTGTTTAAAGAAAACAAAGCAGTTACGAATAATTTCCTCTTTATAGCCGAAATATCTTTTCCATCAATCGTGCAGAGAGGAGCTTCTCCTCAAGTTCGAGTTGAGGTTTCTAGATGCAGACTAGAAGTAGTGAATGTTACTCTCAAGGCGCCGACTAGCGCTTTTTGACTTATAGGTAAAGTTAGAAAGATGTTCCCAGATTCTGCATTTTTGTGCCAATCAAAAAGCATCGCCCTTCAGCTAGAAGAATTGAATTGTGCTCCATGCAGAGCTTGATCCTCTCTGGGGGTCTGTGAATTGCAGAAACGAAAAAATAAATTCAATAGCTACAACAAGGACATGTGTAGTGTGTGAAATAAGAAAATACAAGAATCCTCTTTCATAAGGGATTAGATGGCAGATCCTTATGAAAAACAACACCATGGTTGTTTTTTGTACTTTTTTTTTTTTTTTTTTTTTTTAAGATCAATTTAATCCCCTCTAAATTATGTGACTGACTAACCAGCATTTTTTTCCAAGACTGCAAAGACTATAACTTCTGTTTTGTTTGCATTCTGCCAGGATTTGGTTTAGGATAGTAGACCCAAAAGCAGAGGCAGGCAGGCAGAGGTGAATTTTTAGTTGATTTAATGAAGAGTACTGAAACAAAGTCCAAAACCACAGGCAACAGGAATCCAGAAATCCAAATGAAAACAAAGTCCAAAAACAAACGAGAAACCAGGAGTCCAAAAATTCTAAGATAAAAAAAAAAATTAAAACACAAGTCAAACGTTACCAAAAACCTAGGAGTCATCAGGGGAAGAACTGTAACCTGGAGGATGGCTCAGAGAGATGAGTAGGAGGAAGACTAATGAGGTTAGATGAGGACCCAGCAAAGAAGAACAGAGCAGAGAGAATATTTGCAGAAGACTGAAACAAAGAGAGGGTTAATGATTAGGAGCAGGTGTGAGCAGAGCAGAAACAAGAAAGGAGCAAGAGAAAAAAGAAGAACTCAAGAGGGCAGCAGAGGGCAACAGATAAAAACCTGGGAACTGAAAATAACCAGAAAAAAACAAAATAAGAATTAAACCAATAAGACTATAAAACATGGAATAAAGCAAAACTGAACACTCAAAAGAAAAACATAACAGTGCCAAGACTGAAACATTAACTAAGAATAAACAGGAGAAAACAGCAAAATAAAAATAAAACCACTAGAAAACGAAAAGTAAATCAAAACTGAGCACTAAAAAGAAAATATAACAGAACCAAGACTGAGACAGTAACTGAGAAAAACCCAAGGAACACAATAAAATAAGAATTAAACCATAAAAACCTATAAAACAAAGAGCAAAGCAAAACTGAATATCAAAAGAAAAACATAACAGAAACAGAAACCTAACACATTCAGAAGCAGAAAGTTAAGTCATCCAGGTTTTTATGTCTTCAAGATCTGCTGTAGTCTATGTAATGGGTCAGCTGTATTTATAGACAGCTGAGTATCATCAGCATAGCAGTGGAATTTAATCCCATGCTGTCTAACAATTCTACCGATTGGGAGCGTATATATTATAAAGAAAATTGGCCCCAGCACTGACCCCTGTGGTACTCCACGTAACCCTGGAGCTTGAGGAAGATTTTTCAATAACATAAACAAATGGAAATCTGTCAGATAAATAAGAATTAAACCAGCTTAGCACTGTTTGTCAAGATTGGGTTTGGATGACCCAAATGCAGAAGCCGAGAGGCTGAGGAGATTTCTAGGAGTTTTAATGGGGCAAAAAGAGTAACAAAGGCAGGAATCCAAAAATCCAACTACCGTAATAATGAAAGCAAACCAGAACTAAGGAGCCAGGGAGAGACGAGGTAGGTGGACAACAGCTTGGGAGGACAGCAAAGACAAGGAACCAACAAAGAGTGAGAGCAGAGGGAGGGCATATATAGCTGACAGAGACAAAGGGAGGGCTAACGAGCTGACAAGGAGCAGGTGTGGGAGGAGACAATGAGGGAGCCAAGGGGAAAGGAACACACACACACACACACACACACAAGAGGGCAACAGAGGACAACAGAAAAACATGAGAACTAACATAAATCTAGAAATTACAACAAAACTGGAATTAAACCAATAAAACTAGAAAACAAGGAGCAAAGTAAAGAACAACAGGACCAAGACCATGACACTGCTCCCTTAATTACCACAAAATATTCAAATCCTTTTATATGATCAGCTGTATTAAACGACGCACTGAGATCTAAAAGGACAAGTACTGTACAGATACAAGTTAATTATCTGAGGCCATGAGAATATCATTTCAAACTTTCACCAGGGCTGTTTCTGTCATGAGACAGGACAGATGGACCAAGTATTCAAGGTGAGACAGCCAGTAGGAAAATTCAAAGCAGTTATTAAAATAAAAACAGACAGAACAGAACTGAAGCAGTCTGCTGAGGATCTGGAGGAGGGGGGCGGGGTACCCAATCCATGACACTCTGGTTTAGGGAGAAACACAGGTAAGTTACCACAATCATCTGAACAGAAGATGATTATTAGAGTGAGTCAATACCCGGGTAAACAGCTCAGTCCATCCTCTCAATCTTAGGCAGGATAAGCCAACTGCCAACAATGCGGCACTGAGCCATCCAGAGCGTCCCCAATGCAGCAACCCCAGTGCGCAAGCAGGACTCTGATCCAGGACAGGGATTCAGATCAGACTGGAGTAGTTCTGGAATCTAGTAGTCCGTAGTCTGGTCAGGGGTTCCTATCCGCATAGGACAGATCTGGGTTTCAGGAATCTATCAGAGCTTGAAGGCAGGTTCAGAGTCCTGTGCGTCGAGCAACCAGCTCACACAGAAACAAATGCACCTGGGAGGACAGGTTCAGAGTCCCGTGCATCTAGCATCCAGCTCAGACAAAAACGCACGTGCACAGAAAGGCAGAATCCAGCAGGAGTCCAACCAAGGGTCAGGTGAACAGATCAGAAGGGACAGACAGGGCCAGTGGGTGAGAGGGAACGGAATCAGGAAAACAGAATGACTAGGGAAATGCTGAAAATCTCTCACCACTGGTTAGGAAAATAACTCGCCTTAAGACAAGGGCTCGAGAATAACCTTGTAAATAAATCTAACCAGCCAAACCGATAGAAAGGACACAAACAGAAATCAAACAGAAAAAACAGCAAGCAAAAAATGATCTGGCCTCGATAGCTGGGCTGGACCAAATACACTATATTGCCAAAAGTATTTGCTCACCTGCCTTGACTCACATATGAGCTTAAGTGACATCCCGTTCCTAATCCATAGGGTTCAATATGACGTCGGTCCACCCTTTGCAGCTAGAACAGCTTCAACTCTTCTGGGAAGGCTGTCCACAAGGTTTAGGAGTGTGTTTATGGGAATTTTTGACCATTCTTCCAGAAGCGCATTTGTGAGGTCGCACACTGATGTTGGACGAGAAGGCCTGGCTCTCAGTCTCCGCTCTAATTCATCCCAAAGGTGTTCTATCGGGTTGAGGTCAGGACTCTGTGCAGGCCAGTCAAGTTCATCCACACCAGACTCTGTCATCCATGTCTTTATGGACCTTGCTTTGTGCACTGGTGCACAGTCATGTTGGAAGAGGAAGGGGCCAGCTCCAAACTGTTCCCACAAAGTTGGGAGCATGGAATTGTCCAAAATGTCTTGGTATGCTGAAGCATTCAGAGTTCCTTTCACTGGAACTAAGGGGCCAAGCCCAGCTCCTGAAAAACAACCTCACACCATAATCCCCCCTCCACCAAACTTTACACTTGGCACAATGCAGTCAGACAAGTACCGTTCTCCTGGCAACCGCCAAACCCAGACCCGTCCATCAGATTGCCAGATGGAGAAGCGCGATTCGTCACTCCAGAGAACGCGTCTCCACTGCTCTAGAGTCCAGTGGCGGCGTGCTTTACACCACCGCATCCGACGCTTTGCATTGCACTTGGTGATGTATGGCTTGGATGCAGCTGCTCGACCATGGAAACCCATTCCATGAAGCTCTCTGCGCACTGTTCTTGAGCTAATCTGAAGGCCACATGAAGTTTGGAGGTCTGTAGTGATTGACTCTGCAGAAAGTTGGCGACCTCTTCGCACTATGCGCGTCAGCATCCGCTGACCCCGCTCCGTCAGTTTACGTGGCCTACCTCTTCGTGGCTGAGTTGCTGTCGTTCCCAAACACTTCCATTTTCTTATAATACAGCTGACAGTTGACTGTGGAATATTTAGGAGCGAGGAAATTTCACGACTGGATTTGTTGCACAGGTGGCATCCTATCACAGTTCCACGCTGGAATTCACTGAGCTCCTGAGAGCGACCCATTCTTTCACAAATGTTTGTAAAAACAGTCTGCATGCCTAGGTGCTTGAATTTATACACCTGTGGCCATGGAAGTGATTGGAACACCTGATTCCAATAATTTGGATGGGTGAGCAAATACTTTTGGCAATATAGTGTATATGGCAGAACCTCCAGGTGCGATCAGATGCTTAAAAACTGGGCAGAACTATGCAAGTGACTGAATTGAGCAAT